CATAGGTTTTTAGGCTAAATTTGAACTCATGACTTACGGGCTACCGCTAGGCCACTCCGTCCCTAGTAATGACTTAGATGTTATTATTTTTCTTAAACCTGCCATAGGTTTTTAGGCTAAATTTTGCTCACAGCTCCGAAACATCTCCACCCAGGGTTAAATAGATTTAGTTTTCTCAAGCGGAGTCTCGGTTGGGCTAATTGTAAATAAATTTCTGCATAATGTTAACATTTTCAAAGGATTTTTACTTTATATTTTGGACGTAATTGAATTTCCGCGGAATTTAACTTTTTACAACGTGATTGTTTTCGTGAAATAATCAGAATTCCGAATCCGGTAATTAAGGAAAACCCAGACTGACATTAAATTAAGCCGGAAATCAACGGCGAAGTCCTTAAATTTAGGCCGAGGTCAAATTAAAGCCACATTTGTAATTAACTCAACCTTGGCCTGTTGTAAACTTTGGCTGACATTTAAAACCGTTACGATAATCTCCTCATTAAACTGATGAAGCAAATTAGAGCGCGACACACTTCCAGTGCGAAAGCCATACTCGTAGAATCATTTCCGGAAGCTTGATTTTTTAATATATATTTTTGCTAACTTGACACAAGTGTCGGGGTCATCGATGCCATATCTTGTACACCACCACGAACTTTATTTGTGGGCGTTTTTCGATGGTCGTATATCTAATTAATACAGTTTATAAGATCAGAGTTTCTTCCAGTCATCTGGAAGCCAACCCCCCCTTAAATGTGTCTAATGCCCCACCCAGAACGAAATATAATTTATATAGAAAATATATTCTTTTACCAGTTTCCGCCCCCTCGAAAATTCTATGTGTGTGTGCGTATGTGTGTGTGTGTGTCTGTCTGTCTGTCTGTCTGTAAACACGATAACTTCAGTTCCATTACAGCTAGGCTGATGAAATTTCATATATAAGTATCATATCAAATTGGTAGATCAGTATAAGCTTTTCAGCTATTTCCGATAACCGGAAGTGCAATTTTTTGCTACTTTCAATTTTTTAAAAGCCTAAAACTTGTGTACTATTTCAGATAGATATGAAAAATTTCACATATAAGTAAAAGATCTAATTCTTTGCCTTCTGTCAAATTTTTAGTAATTTCCGTTGATCGGAAGTAGTAATTTATGCTATTTCTGATTTCTCAAAAAACGCATGTGAATTTATAAAGGACTAATAATATTCCGCACTATTATACACATTTTATTTGGCATTTGCTTGGAGCCCAATATATTTTTCTACGCGATTCTATTCTATTTTAAAAAGTTTAAGCAATTAAAAATGGATTAAAAATATTGTCTCTATCCCGAGTTGCCATCCCCCGTAGTGTAATATAAGAATATTCGAGGAAGTTTATGGGAGATCACTCCCGGTTTATTTACATTAGACAAAAGGTGTGATTACCAAATATATTAAACTTGAAATCAGACGTATAATACGCAAAAGGAAGTAAATATTTTACTCAGTAAAATTGAATTATATTTGTTTTCATACAATGCAATATGTAATCGTGTATGTCAAATGCCTCGTATTTCAAAAACTATTGACCACATTGAAATTAAAAGATGTGATTTTATCCGTACCAGATCCAAAAAAGCTACTCGTCTTGTTTTTTGTTATATGGTTTTGAAAACGAAAACGCATAGGCCTACATGACAAATTGTTAACAGCATAATGAAAGCAAATGCAATGAAAAAATATGGATTTATAAAGAGTAGTTACAATATGCTTAGGACATGAACCGACTCGAGCTTAGAGAAATTGTATGGTCTGGGTGCACTAAACGAAGCATATATTTAGTATGTAGTAGATAATTTAAATCTATACATCATCATCATTTACCTCGTCGTATAAAGGGATAGCGTAGTCACCACTATACCCAACCGCCTTTGTTTCCTTATCGTAAGGTAACCATCAGAGCTGGGTGGACTCAGGGACGTTTTACTGATTTAAACCCTAATTCGTACTCGAGGCTCGTGTTAGCAGTCTAGCTAACCCACGCCCCCCCCCCCAATCTTTACATAAACGTCCATAACTATATGATAAAATACTTATTTATGTATACCAAAGTAAAGTTGCATATCACTTTCTGTTTATTGAAACGACTGTCAACACATTGCATTTCAGGAAAAAGTCTTTTACACAATTATATTTGTCAGATACGATATATCTATGTATTACAAACATGAAATTTGAATATCTAATGTTAGCATGGAAAATATGTGATGCCAAATATATAAAGATTGTAAAGAATTTTGATTCTAAAAACATAATCATGTCAAAATTCCTAATACAATGAAACAAAAAAAAAACAAATAAGGCAAGCATTTATCTTAAAAAGCGATTTAGATAAACCAATATACGATGCGAAAAAAATGTGGCTGATACAGCATAATCATTTTTAAAATCGTGTTCTAAATAATGAGCGGACGGTGTATTCTTTTAAATAAAAAAAATTGGCACATGGGTGTTTACAAATGACGTTGTTGAGAGCAGGTGAGAAAATTATCCCTGGGGCCGTTTTTAGGTATGTGACAAATGTCTAACATTTTTAAAATGATTTATTCAATTATATTTTATTTAGGCTATACAATTTGTTTGTAAGAAAAAAAAACTGTATTTTGTTCTCAAACAAAATAGTCATTTTTGTAAGTTATTTTTTTAATTAGCATCCAGCAGTAGACTATTAATTTCCGCAAAATTATCCACTAAGCTTTTGCTTTACCGAATTATTATAACGATAACGCTAGATAGAAACTGCTTATATAGCTGAAGGCTCTTAATTCAGGGGAGATGAATCGTGATAGGCAAGCTTAGTCACTTGTGTGTTAGTTGTCTCCCATTAATATACTTTGCGGCAAAGAAATCAAAGTGTATCTTTAAGCAGGATAAACGACGCCTTACGACCGAACAATAACGTCCACCGATGTTAAGTAAATAGAAACTGGTCATCGACGCTCTTGTATAAAAAAATAACGACACACGCACTGGTCATAAATAAATACATTTTCTCTAGTGTGAATATTTTACAGCCCTAGGCCCTAGGTATGATGGTTCAGGATCTCCGAATATTTAACACTTGTTTATTTACACAGAGAAAACCCACCGCTGTGCACCTACGAGTACCATTGTTTAAAACAAAATGAAATATGAAATCTGAAAACGACTCATTAAATGTCGTTTAATTTCTTTTTACTTAAACGTTTACGAAGTATAGAGGAAGTATTATAACCGTGCAAAAACCAAAAAAAAAAAATCGAAATCGAGATTTTCACAAATCTTGACTTTTTACACTTTCCTGAGTCGAAAAAAAACCATAGTTTTGCAATTTTGCCCGTATGTCTGTGTGTGTATATGTAAGTATACGTCTATTTATGTATAGGTTGATGAAATTTCATTTATTAGATTTATATCAAATTTGTAGTTCTGTAGCAACTTTTCAGCAATTTACTGTTACCGGAAGTAGTACTTATTCTACTTTTGGTTTTTCAAAAGCCTATAACTTAAGTAATTTTTCAGATAGATAAAAGAAATTTCACATATAAATAAAAGATCTAATTTTCTGCCTTCTTTAAAATTTTGAGTACCTTCCGTGACGGAAGTAGTAATTAACCGTCATTTCCGATTTCTCAGAAAACGAAAATGAATTTAAAAAGAGCTAATAATATTCCACACTATTATACATAATAGCTGATGGTACCCGTTACATGTGAATTATAAGCTTATATATTTTTAATGTTATAAGTACTTGAAAAAAATAAATAAAATAGTTATTGGCGAAATCGCAGCACTAAACGTTGAGATATTAGTGAAAAAGCAAAGAAATAACTAAATAGCTAAAAATCCGGCACATTCAAAATAACAAAGGCTACCAATACTTATTAGAAAAACCAAATTATATACACTATTAGTCAACACAGAACCATATTAAATGCACTCACTGATCAATGGAATAAATGATTACGTTAAAACCCCGGCTGTTCAATGGTTTTATGATTTTTTTAAAAAGTAGTTTGCATTGCTTTTGGCCTAGAAAATTGTATACATATCATAGCGTACGTTTTAAAAAGTAGATCTATAGATCTAGATCTAAATCAAATTTGAATGAAATAGTACATTTCTTTATATTCTAAAATTGGAAGATGACGCCATTTACTTTCCGTAGGTTAAACATGTGACGTCACTGTTTTTTTGCGTTCTTGTCACAACTATAAACACTACTCCGGTTGCATAGTTAAAAATATGGTTCTACATACGAATATCCGTTTTATTTTATTTATCTTATTTAAATAAAATTTAGTTTATAGGCCTACATTTAAAAAATCCACCATATTATTTTCAACGAGTCCGTATCTTTAAGTTCTCTATATATCGCTTAACACACTGATCACAGTCTCAAAAATGTGGCTGACAGAGAGAGAGAGAGAGAGAGAGAGAGAGAGAGAGAGAGAGAGAGAGAGAGAGAAGTGCGCACATGGGTTTTATATATTAGGATATCGTTATATGTTAACTTTGTGCGTAATTTTTTTTTCTACGAGATTCTATTTTCAAAAAATGGATTAAAAATCATGTCTATATCCCGAGTTGATATCCCCTGTAGTTTTAAATAAGAATTTTCGAGAAAGTCTAGGGGAGATTACTCACGCTTTATTTATTATTTGCATGTAAAACTTTAAAATAGATTCCTATGGAATGTTAAACCCATAGTAACTCGTACATAACTATTTGAAGTATTTCAGCGGACGTGGATGGGTAGGCATTTTCAAAAACAAATATAAAACAATTTGGCATTTTTACGTAAAGCTGTCATACTAAATAAAATGTAATACCCTCTTAAACAGAAAGTAATTTATAAAAAGCTTAACTACAAAAGTTTCTTAACACAAAAAACGTGTTAATAATGTAAAAAAAAATGGAAACGACAAACTTTATAACATTGTTACATTTCTATACGGAAAGGTTAAATGTTTTCTTTTTAAAATTTGCAATCACCGTGCATGTAAAAATCACTGTTAGCAACTAAGTAGCATATTGACTGTTGCACGCGCACAAATCTATTAGTAACATCTAACATCTGAGGAGACAATAACATTGGGGGTGAGCCTGTTTGCATATACATTAACAGAATAATCAACTTGTAGAATGTTTAAGAAATCAGTATACGGTTCTCTTTATAAATTTTGGAATGTAAGGTTCTTAAGCTGATCTTAGCAAGGTACCAAATTATTAGCTGAAACCGCATCATGTAAGTGGGCAAGACAGACTCGTTGTAAGAAGAATACCAATGTATAATTGAATGGTTACGTTTTACGACAAGTTGTAAAAAATGTACAATGTTATGTACAATGTTAATTAAACAGTTCCAAGAAAATTAATTGTACAATATAAATGTAAGATATTTTAACTACATTGATTGTGAGAAAGATAAGATTTATCTCTCATTACAGTATATGTTTGTAGATTTAACAAAAAGTTAACAACAATGTATGAATTTAGAAACAGAAATCAGAAAACAGATGTGTCTACAGTTAGCTGATGTTTGGTGAACACATATATTTGCAAAAACAAAAACAAACATGTATATTAATACTATCCAAGGGTAAAACTGGGTTTAGCAAGTAAATGATAAACAAGTCAAAATCATAAAAAAAACAAAAATTTCGACAAATAGTAGGAACAAAAAAACAAAGAACCGAAAAAATCAGTACAAATAAATATATATAAATTTCTCTCTCTCTCTCTCTGTATATATATATATATATATATATATATATATATATATATATATATATATATATATATATATATATATATATATATATATATATATATATATATATATATATATATATATATATATATATATATATATATATATATGTATATATATATATATATAAACATATATATAAATGGTGACAGGACAAATGATCTCAGGACAAATGATCTCAGACAAAATATCTCAGACAAAATATCTCACGGACAAATGATCTCAGGACAAATGATCTCAAGGACAAATGATCTCACGGACAAAAGATACCAGGACAAAATATATCAGGACAAATGATACCATGGACAATTGATCTCAGACAAAATATCTCAGACAAAATATCTCACACCTAAATTTTAATAGTGTATTGGATGATTGTAGTTGTTCTGAACAGTTTTTTTATTGACTTTCTTATGGTTTTGTTTACTATGTTTAATATTGTTTACAGGCCTGTATAATTAGTGTAAGAAATATTTGCCGTATAAATTTGTCATATTGCACTTAACATTTTCAAATTAAGATTACAAATATAGTTTGCGAAGATTAAAGCATTTTTTTCGATAGACAGCGTAGGTGGGCTTGCCAAAAATGAGACAATCTTACCATGTCAGGTGGAAAAAACTAGATCAAAGGGAATGAAATAACAATAAAGAAACACCTTCGTATCAAGGTGGCCGCCCGCTTTGACCGCAGAGACATGCCTTATTGGAAAGACATCCGCCCTCGATGGATAATACAACTAGCCTCTAAAGTCAATAGTTATGCGTCGGTCACACCTTAGTGATCAGGTTACAAATGCTTAGTTAAACGACAGCGGTCATCGTGGAGCTAAGTTTGTCGTAGTGTGCATGCAAACAAAACAGTATTAGTGGTGATTTTGTTTCCTCGCTGAAAGGTTTTAGGACATTGTTTCTTGTGATTTTATGTGTATAAAAGCCAAAAGTAGAGCAGCAGGCAAAGAGATTTGCAAATGTGAAGTTAAAACATGTCGCGAAAGAGTTCACACAATAGATGATCACATAGTATTGGAGAGGTGTGATCATAACGATGTACTTGCCAGTAAAGAAACGTAAGCGTTATGTTTGTGTTGATGATACAATAAATAATAGTTTTACGTAACAAACCCGAAGACCCATTCACATTTTTGAAAAATATTTCGCGTGTTTTGAACATTAATGTTGTATAAATAACTTTATTTTTTTTATACATTATCATTTATCAAACCTTTCAGGCTAAAGGAGTAAGTTTTCTTTACATTTTTACTTTCAAATCAAATGCTTTTACAAAGGTTAAGTTTAATAAATCTTTTGATGTTTTGTTAAGTTTAACAAATTCATTTTATTCACAATTATTATGCGTAGAAAAGTGAACAAAACCATATTGTAGTCAATAAAGAAAATATGTTCAGATCAACTAAAATCATTCAAAAAACTATTAAAATTTTGCTGTGAGATATTTTGTCTGAGATATTTTGTCTGAGATCATTTGTCCATGATATCATTTGTTCTGATATATTTTGTCCTGGTATCTTTTGTCCGTGAGATCATTTGTCCTTGAGATCTTTTGTCCTGAGATCATTTGTCTTGAGATCATTTGTCCGTGAGATATTTTGTCTGAGATATTTTGTCTGAGATCATTTGTCCTGAGATCATTTGTCATGGAACCATATAAATATATATATACATATATATATATATATATATATATATGTATATATATATATATATATATATATATATATATATATATATATATATATATATATATATATACATATATATATATATATATATATATATATATATATATATATATATATATATATATATATATATATATGTATACAAGAATTGATATGGGTCTACAAAAACAATGTGAGCATAATAAAATCTTCAATGTGTAGCAACATGTGTATGTTATGATATAATAAAAAAATAAATGTGATTGAGCAGTAATTGAGATTTCATAACTGGCAATCTAAAAATAAACTAGTCAACAAACAATTTTTAAAAACAGGATCTAGCTCTAGGTTTCCGGAAGTTTTTCTGAGGATTGAAATTTGTAATTTCAATTAAGTATTATATATATATATATATATATATATATATATATATATATATATATATATATATATATATATATATATATACATATATATGTATGTATGTATGTGTGTATGTATGTCTGTGTATGTATTAGTATAAGATTGTGTTTATTTTAATTAAATTTACATCGTTTAAAATTCGAAATCATTATCTGAAGAAAATAATGTTTATATATACATAGTTTCTCGTGATACGAATTTAAATTAAATTAGTTTCGTAAGTCTGCTCGTGTCTAATATCAGCTATAAATCAAATTTCCTTAATGAAAATAATTTAAACATTATTTAATTCTTTATGGACCCCAAAATGGCACTCTAGTTGTTTTTAAATAAGAAATCATTATTTATAAAAGATAAAATGTTTAAAAAAATATATAATGCAAAAAAATATTCATAAGTTATCAAGCTTCCTAAATGTTGTTAACTTTGAAAATGTCGAGGTAAAGGTACCACTTTTGTTAAAATAATATGGCAATATGGTAAACAAAATACATAATTTACCTTCAAACGTACTTGGATCTTGGATAGTACTAACACCTGCTAGTTTTAGAAAACAGTTTGTGTTATTATTTGAAAGCAACTGTGGACTGGCTGTGTGAAAGAGTCCCAGAAAATTTTAAGTAAAATAATTAATGCATTAATTCACATTAAACGGCAAAATATCAGGACTCGTTATAAATCTCGGTCTCTCTCCCTTACATTTCAAAATCGCGTTGGCAAGGAAAAGATATAAGTTTTTGAACTACATTACTACTACATTACTACTATTGTACTCTTCATTAAACATAATTTAACATTCATTGTTTAAGCTATTCTACATCCTGTTAATCGTTAATGATTTTAGGATAGGTGTAGTGTTTGTAAAAGTGAAATCGATAAGGATATGGGTTGGGAAACGGTAAAGATAATTATATAGATTATGATTAAACTAGATGTTCGTGATTAAAGTAAGGATTTGTATCTGGCTGGATAAGATTATGGATAAAGATAGGTACTGATATGTTATGTATTTTAAAAATGGTTGATTACCCTTCGAGTTGTTTCAGGAATATGATTTTCGATCGCTTGTTGGTATTAAACGGAAATAATGATAAAATCTAATTCACTTTCATTGTGCGGATTTTATCGTAATGCTTGTGAGTCAGTTCTTTATTAGAAGTTATATATGATGTTAGTATTCTGAAAGAGGGACACCTAAATATATGTTGTATATTACTGTAGATTTTGCACTATGAAACTATTACATTTTAAACTAAACATTTATCTAGATCATTTTAAAAAACAACAGAAAATTAGATTTTTTTTACTGTTTGAAACAGTTGTAGTAGTAATTAATATCTACAATCTACTTTAAGCAACGTTTACACTAAAAACTGTAAATTTGCTTAAAAATGCAATAGTTAAGCTTACCTGTAGAAAAATACATAGCACGTCTACGTAATGTATCTAAAAAAACGGAAAAATGTACTTTTATCTTATATAGACGTTAATATAGTTTTTTATTTTGTAAACGCATTATTCTTTTTTTATTTAAAATAATTTGTTTTTAAAATATAAGAAGAAGTGTTATAGAAATGTAATTTGCTTCCTTACAACAGTTTTCTTTCTTTTGAGACTCAGATTCTTCTATACTGTTTGGTTCGTCTTCCAAAATACCTGGAATGGAAAAAAATAGGTACTTTTATATAAAAAAAAAAAATAAAAAAAAATAAAAAATAAAAAAATATATATATATATATATATATATATATATATTTATATATATGTGTGTGTGTAAGTATATAAATATATATATATATATATATATATATATATATATATATATATATATATATATATATATATATATTATGTATTAGTAGTTTGTACAATTATTCTTTGGATTAGAAATAGTAGTAGTAGGTTAATAGAAAAAGTAGTGTTTCAGCAGTAGAAATGCTATTATTATTTTCAGTTTGTTAATTAGTATCATCTTTATAATTATCTTATTACAAGTAACAAATAAAGTAAATATTTTTATTTAGACGTAGCAATCTGTTAGGCATATAAAAAGGGTATATATCTTTTGACACTGGCATATCAGTATTGTGAAGTTAGCACTATGCCAAGCTTCTATATTATCTCTAACGTAAGTCAGGTACCCATCAGAGCTGGGTAGACTCACGGACGTCCGACAGTCACAAGTCCGTATCGAGGTGCGAACTCGAGACTTTGAGGCAAGCTCTAACATTCGACAATGTCGTTCTTTTTATGCTCTTTACGATAATTGCTATTTGTTAACAAAAAGTCCCATTTAGTGCATTTTATAATATCGAATAAAACATTTGGTAGCCTTAAAGAAGTGAAATATAAAATCTTTAATATCTAATAGCAAAACCTGTAAGCAGATAGCATACCTCTATCATTAGTCAAAAATGCGTTCTCTAGATTTTGTAAAATTGCTGTGTAAATAATTATGCAAAAATATCAAAAATGTAATTTATGCATCTTGTATTTTAATACATACCTCTTTCTTTTCTGAGATCAACAATGTGGTTTGGTAATTCTTCTACAATCAAAAAATAAAATTTAAAGTGATTTACAAATAGATTCAAAAGAACTAAAAAGTATTCTTATCATTTTTAACAAAATTAAATGAATAATATACATTTACTGATTTGATGTAATATTGAAATACCTAGAACATGTTACATTTGTAATGTTTCTCTTTTTTTCTTAAATTTTTTTTTTTCTTTTGTAAGCAATAAATGTAAATGCATTATGTAAAAAGGGTTTTTAAAAGTGTAAAGCCGCAGGTTAGGTAAATCTTATCACAAACAAATGAGAATTGTTCAGCTGTTTTATCTTTCTCTAAAAGCTGCTTTTTATATGATTCTGTATAAATAAACTCATTTTAAATATTTTTATTTAATTTCAGTTTTAGAACATGTTTTATTTAAATATATTTTTCTTTTTTAAACACATATTTTCTGTTATAAGCAACCAATGTAAATGCAATGATAGAAAAATAATTTATTAAAAGTATAAAACATATGTTAGGCAAGTCTTACCGCAAATCACAGACAATTGTTCAAATCGTTTATCTGATTCCAAAAGCTTCTTTTTATATGATTCTGTATAAATCAATAAATGTTAAATATTTTTATTTTATTTCAACTCTGTGTTTAAAAAAACACAATCAATAGCTATGATTTTCGTTCTGGAAAAGATTCCAAACCATTTTACTTTAACTCATGTTAAAATTGTAATATAGAGTAAACATGAATTTCCATTTGAATTTGTTTATATTTTGATATGGAATAATTCGAATCCGTGTTTTATAAAAAAAAAATCTTCTAAGTAAATTCATTATAAATACATGTACCTGTCTCGTTTCGAGACGATGTTAGTATATCGCAAAGTTGATCATTTTCTTCATTCAGCTTTTCTGAAGTTATTCAAGAAACAAAAGGAAAAGTTTAGCTTGTGTACGTTGATTCAATGAAAGTATTACATAATAGTATACATTAAACGGCATGCGCTTACATAGTTTAATATAAATATATATATTACCTATTTGCTCTAAAAGTTGATTGGCTGTGTCTTGTAATTTTATTTTGTCTTCTGTCAGCCTATCTGTGATATATATATATATATATATATATATATATATATATATATATATATATATATATATATATATATATATATATATATATATATATATATATATATATATATATATATATATATATATATATATATATATATATATATATATATATATATAACCCTAAATCAGAGTTTCTTCCAGGCATCTCTTCGGGGGGTGGGGGGTGGGTGGGAGGAGGGGAGGGGAGGGGAGGGGGGGGGGGCGGAGCCCTGCCGAAGAAAGTCTACCGACCCCCCCCCCCTCCGAAATGGAATTTAAATAGAAAATATGTACTTTTAACAGTGTCCACTCCCCACCCCGAAATTTTAGTCCGCACCCCTCCCCCCCCCCCACGAAAATTCCAAGAGCCCCCCCCCCCCCCACCCACCACAGGGAGATAAAAGTCTGGAGGAAACACTGCCCTAAATACACAATTTTAACGTACAAAATAACATTTGTACTAATAATAGGGCTTACATTGAATACAAGAAATGGCGTTTTAAAAAAGTAATGATAGATAGTGATAGATTTAATTACTATAGATACATTATACCAGGGGTTCCCAACCCCGTGCCCGCGGGCGCCATGGCGCCCGCCGAACGATTCGTATGTGCCCGCCTCTCACTATTTGACAGAGACAGAATTTTTTTCATAAACATTATTGAAAGGTTGAAGGGGATGGAAATAATCGAAAACTTGAGGGGGGTGTAAATCGAAAATTTGAGGGGGGGAGGGGTGCAAATCGAAAGTTTGAGGGGGGGGGGGGTGCAAATCGAAAGTTTGAAAGGGGGGGGTGCAAATCGAAAGTTTTGTCCCCGGGTGACGGGAAGGGTCGCTACGCCTCTGGAAGGAGTTTGTCTATTTAAAATAGGTGGTTCCCGCCACCCTACCGATATTTTAGAATGTGCTCTAGAGTAAAAAAAGGTTGGGAACCCCTGCATTATACAGTCAAATGTTTGCAGTTTCTGAACAAACACACTTCTGATAACGTGGTCTTTCATTTACAAATTTAAATAATCACACACGAGAAGTAAAATTCAATATTTTTAGCGTCGACTAAAACTAGTGTTAAATAGTTTGATACATTTAGGGACAGTAATCCATGGTCTAAACGCGTATTTCCGCGTTGTAGGAATGTAATATGGTTGCTTACAACAGTCAGCTTTCCGTTGTGATTCCAATTCTTCTATATACTTTTTCTCGTTTGCCAAAATACCTGGTAAGAAAAATAAATATAGGTATATAGGCTATATATATATATATATATATATATATATATATATATATATATATATATATATATATATATATATATATATATATATATATATATATATATATATATATATATATGTATGTATGTATGTATGTTTGTATATATATAAACATAAGTTAATAATTTATGCAGATTGCACTTACTTTTATCAGTAGTTAACTGAGATACATTTTTTTGTAAATGTAAATTTTCTTGTACCAAAGTATCTGCAAAAATATATAAATACGATCATCAAAGAAAATAGTGGTGCATTATTATATATGTAATTTTTTATTTTCTTTGTTTTAGTGCATAATTTTACCAAAACTTACCATTTAGTGCTTTCAATTTTGAGATCTTTAATGTTAGAAATTGTTTGTCGTAATCTTTAATCAAGAGAAAAAATAGCATTTATTATAAATCAATTAGGCAAGATAAGTAACGGTATAAAGAATATTATTCTTCATTAAAAAAAAATAATATCAACAACTATTTTTTTAAATATTAATTATTCTGAAATTTAAATGTACAGGTAACATGTTTGTGTGTATTTATACTTATAATATTGATTGTATGGGTTTTTTAAATGAAAGATCAAAAGGAATACCTGACTGCATTTCATTTCTTCTTGTACCCTTTAATTAAAAATATACGTAGAAAGAAATCAAAATGAATTAATATAACAACACATACGAATTGTATGTTCAAAAGTAGTGCACTAGGTAATATTAATAACAAGCTTTTGTGTAATAATGCACTAAGTATATGAGAAGTATATTTTGAGAAGTAAAAGATTACGAATTTTGAGACAACTGTGGGTTCAATCTGTTGTCGATTGGCTAAGCCTACTACCTACCCTGCGCTTGGGATGGATCTTCTCGTCCAATATTTTCTTTTTGCAACATTCTGCATTAAATTTAAAATAAATCATATCAAAAAACAATATGCACATATATTTTCTAAGGCATTTTCAATGTTCATTTGATTTCAAAGCTATGCCTATTAGAAAGTTAAGTATGAGATTATCCGTACATAAGGTAACAGACGTCGGATGAATGGAGGCGGTGAGCTTCATTTTGTGTGGGGGGGGGGGTGTTCAGATAGTTTGACGTCACAATTTTGCATTTTTAAAAAGCAATGTTAAAAACTGCATTTTATCCGTTATTTTGCGTTTTATAAAGTTATTTTAATAAATAATTTAGAATAAAAATTGAATATACGATTAAGAAATACCCTGTTGACCGAGGTCAGTCAATATTTCAGAACAAAATCAGATACTCATTAACTTCTATTCATTGTTTTAAAATAAAATCTCTAAAAAACATTGCTTAAAATAAATTACGATGCATCTTTAAGCTTTTAAATAATCTCGATGTACTGCAATACTTAAACGTGCTGTGAATGTTGGAATTACCTTTAATCATCTCCATTTCTTCAGCCACATGATCCAGCTTATCGCTCTTGTCTCGCAGCACATTTATAAAGCAATCGAACCATCCCTTATACCTAGACGCACTATCAAGCAGTGACGAAGCTCCAACTACTTCTCCTTTATTCTGATTCTCAGCCAGGATCTTACTCTGCGCAAAATGTTATATATATATATATATATATATATATATATATATATATATATATATATATATATATATATATATAAGCACACTGGGTGATGTTTGTTTTTTTACTCACGCCTATTAAATCGGGTACTTGTAAGTATAATGCAGAGGAAATTATTCTTGACAAACTTTACTGTTAACTATTTTTACCGGGAAAATTAGAGTCATTTCGATAATCGACTTTAAAATGACCGAAAATTAACCTAGAGTTACCGCGACCTTATATAAACTATACATTTTTTTATGTGTTTGATTTAGATCGCTCACTTGCAGACGCGACAAAAAGTTGACATTTGGTTTGGAGATATGCATGCTGTAAGTACATGGAAAAATACCAGGTTCTCAGGGATTAACAATTGAACACTTTTACTCCTCAATTTTAATAGTTCAATAGACGCAACATGGTCAGGAAATTATAGTTTTAATTTTTCCCACAAAAATAAACGGAGAAAACATATACACGAAACGATTTTCAAATAGATTGGATCAACGCCTAGCCTATAACCGCTAGTACATAGGCCTATATATATATATATATATATATATATATATATATATATATATATATATATATATATATATACATTTTTTTGCTTGTATATGTATATATCGCTTTTGTTTTAACTTAATTTTTCACCTTTTTCGGGTAATTTCTTCTATTTTGTTTCTAATCCATCGAAGTGTAGCAGACACAAATTTTGGACGTATCTCTTATATTTATTATTGAGCACTATTGTATCGCTTGGTTCGTTTTGCCTTGCCACGATTCAGTTTCGAGATAATGTGTTAATCTAATTACAAAGCGTTATTTGTAGGACAGATTACTTGTTTACATGCACAGTGTTTGCTAGTGTATGTTTGTTTTCCATATTGTGTCGATTTCCAGAAACTCATGTAAATCTGTGTTATGTAAGATTGTACACAAATTACGCCTTGAGAACGGCATCATCCCAGAAAGTAGAAAAGCTGTACGAAAACAATTTATCATTGGGGAAAAGGGCTAACCTCTGCGACTATCATAAGGATATATATATATATATATATATATATATATATATATATATATATATATATATATATATGTACAATATTGCTAATATATGACTTTAAGAATTACAGTAGATATGAACTTACTTTGTCTGCATCTGTAAGAATATTTGAATCATACGCTTGAATAATGTGAATGACACTATCAACCCTTACATACTGCTGAAAAAGTTGATGCAACTGTGCTTTTGCTAATTTTAAAAACATTGGATCCGTAGTAACGTCTTCCATGATCAGTTATTGATAATAAGAAGAGAGTTGTTTTCTGAAAACTATGAAACTGGATTTTATCTATATTACATTTTAAAATACTAATATCTACACAGTATTTTTTAAATATCTCAAAACTGTGTAAAGTATATTCAAAAGTATTTCTTTCATGCGTTAATTTTAAATAATTGTTGTTAAAAGCAAAATAAGTAACTATGCCGCTTATTAGACTTTATGTTTTAACCAATAAGCGAATTTTTCAATTCTGTAGAATTAAATATTTAAATGTTCAATATTTATGTTAATTTGACTTAATATCGCGTTTTTATTATTCGAATTTAAGCCCCTATAACTGTTTCTTTATTTTCGCAAATTTAAGCTGTTTTTTTTCTTATTTTGTAGCATTAATAAAAACAACTAAGCTAAATTTAATTTAAGAAAAAAATAAAAAGAAAGGCATATTCGAATGTAAAAACACATTTTTAATTATGCCAACAGGAAAGTGTTTATGGTTGTGACAAGAACGCAAAAAACAATAAAGTCACACGTCATATGTTTAAACTACGTAAAGTACACAACACTAAAGCGTCATCTTCCAATTTTAGAATATGAAGAAATGCACTATTTCATTCAAATTTGAGTTAGATCTATACATTTTCTCAGTGTGTATACTATTTTCTCGGCCAAAACGAATACGACTTGCTTTAGAAAATAACATAAATAGGCCTACCATTGAAAAGACGGGTTTTCAACGAAATCGTTTTAATCAGTGTGTGCATATAATTTGGTTTTAATTTTTCCTATAGGTATCGGTAGCCTATGTTAGCTTAAATGTGTCAGATTTTTAGCTATTTAGTTATTTCTTTGCTTTGTCACTAGTATCCTTAAGCCTGTAATTAAACACATTACGTTTTGACCAATAACTATTTTATAAATTATTTTTCTCTAAAAAGTATAAGATTTACAATATATAGACCTATCATTCACGTGTAACCGATGGCTAGTTGTGTTAAGAAGCAGCAACTAATATAAACACAGGAATTAAAAAAACAATCTTATTCTGGCATGTTCATAACGTGTTCCATCTTCAATGGCTAAGGCTAAAAAAACAAGTAGATCAATATTGAGATCGTTGAATTCCAATTAAAATAATAATTGTACTTCAACGTATTAACCAAGTTACCTTGGAGGAAATTAACATAAAATGCATAATATATAAATATAAAACAATCAATACAAAAACTAAACAGAGCAAGAATAAATGTTTTAGCAAATATAATTCGATTATGACAACAAGACATTTAACAGAGCACAATGGATATTTTGAATTTAAACTGATCGGCCTATAGACATTCATTTTAATTTATAACGAAACACAAATTTAAGAAATAGTAATATAACAATTTAAGACTACGCCTTACAGATATAAAAAAATAACTGCGTGTTTAATTCTTGCATAACCTATCCTCAGTTATCGTACTTCGAGCTATATATTTCATTGTAACACGTCTATGGGCCTACTAGCTAAATAAACAAACTTACATCTGAACAGTGTAAGGCAGTACAAGTTGATGTTTTATTTGCAGTGCTTGTGTATATATTGCATTTGTAAAGGTCCAACAAGGTTCGCATAATTCTTATGTGTGTCAACTCTGACAATAAATTTAATTGGTAGAGCTGTAGAAAAAAATCTTTTGATATTTGATTACATTGGCCTATTTATTGTACAAGGAACATTATTTATATCCTTCGGTGTATATTTGACGTACCACTACCAGTTATACTATTACGACGAACGGAAGGGTAATTAGTAGGCCTTGTCGTAGTAACACATTCATA